CGGCGCCACAGATGTCTCGAGTTGGCAAATGAAACCGAGCCTTCTCTATGCGAGCTGACACTTCATCCGTAATGCATCCACCGGGTGAGATGTAGCTGCCCAGATAACAAAACTTTTCCACCTGCTCCATTACTTCCCCAGTTAGAGTGAGGCTGGGCGCTGAACCAACCCAGTCTTGTAGTAGCATTTTAAACTTTGAAGGTGCAAAACGCATACCGAACATGACAACACTAGCACTCAAACCTTACCTGGATCTTCACTAAGTAGCACAATGTCGTCTGCATACTCTAGATCAGACAGCCTGCCACCCGGGAGTAAATCGATGTCACTATCCTCAAATGAGGATAGGGCTGCTTCCATAAACAGAAAAAGGGAGAGAGGGCAACCCTGTCGAGCACCATTTTCCGTGGTGAACTCGGGTGAAAACGAGCCATAAGCTCGGACTCGACTTTTGCTATGAGTATAGAGGGATTATAATATTGAAATAAACTTCCCGGGCACACCCTTCAGAGAAAAACAGTGCCGGAGTTGAGAGCGGTCGATTGAGTCGAAAGTTGCTTTAAGATCCACGAAGATAGAGATGGTGGATCTACGAAAAGAATGTCGGTGCTCTAGAGTTTGGCGAAGATGTGATCGATACAACCTCGACCAGGTCTAAAACCAGCCTTGTTTTCACGCAGAAGACAATCGACGGAGTATGATACCAGTGAGAAGTTTAGAAGCAATGTTGATTAAACTGATTCCTTTTCACAAGAGGAACCTCTTCCCTTTCCCACACTGAGCCCAGGAGTTTCGTCAGCTCCGAAACCAATGCTAAACCTTCATCCTTAAAAACGGATGGAGAGAGCCCGTCTGGGGCTGAGGCTTTATGCCTTTTGAGATAGGGTGCAAAAGAAGACTCTCTCAACGCTAACTTGAGGTCCCGAGCCATATATCCTGGTAAAACTCACGGTTTTGGGGATCTAAGCCCAGTTGCCGGGATAACACAATCCTTGTCAGTTTATAGGCCAACGCTTCGAGACCAAGCTAACCGATAACGTACCTTATTTCGTTTGAAACAGTCGCCTGTGTGGATGAATAGGACATTTGAGGCATCCGCGTGGTTGGTCGAGCTCTGAGAGTTGCTGAAGAGAAGCCTTGACGTTCAAGCATGATCCCTATATTTACGACGGCCAACGTCTTAGTGGAAGCCATTACTTATGCACAGTTTGCACCGAAGACAGTGACGGACAAAAACAGAAGAACCGACGATTACCTCCGCAACGTTTCGTAAAGATAAACCGTCGCACCGCAGTGCAAAGTCGTAAGTATCATAATGTATACCTCCGTGAAAGGTTGAGATCACGACGTTGCCACAAGCGAAGCAAATTAACGCACATTATACTCAGGCCTTTTTCATACGCGTAAAGACCTCATCTGACGCTCCGTTTCTGCGTAGATAAGACTTGTCAACAGAAACCCTACTCCATGTTTTATATCTCCAGGTCATTCAGAGGCTTCTGGATAATCTGGTGTATTCGCATAACGCACACAACCATGCACCGCATGTTGCGTTGTAGTTTCGCCACTTGTTTTCGAGCGTCGTGCATCGCCCACAAACATAAAGGAACGAACCGCAAGGTATTAATTTTAAAAATTTTGATAGTATCTTTTCAAAGAGTGGCAAGTAAATAGATTTGGATGTTGCTGAAATAATCCCACAGAGCACATTTCAAACAAAACAAATTTATTCACCGTAGCCATTCCATGTTTGAGATCAACAGATGATGTGAAACGAGGCATGAAGAAATGTACAAAGCTATTATGCAGATTAGGTATCTCTCCTCTTCCAAATTGGCGTCTAAAAACAAAGCGACTGGCTGGATACATGGAAGGTCATGGCGGGGAACCGGTAGTAGTGGCGTTCGCGTTATTGTTTCTTACCAGATCAGAATGCTTGAAAAAGGTATGTATGCACCGTTAGGTTGTGCACTCTGTTTGTGGACCATAGAGGTTCACTCCCCCCCCCTTGGCATGATGGTATGAAACCCTAATCAGGGGACTGGGGCACGTAGGTCCTGTTAGGCTCCCTGCATGGGGACCCCGAGATCATGATCACCGATGGTTAGAGACACTGCTCCATATGGCTGGGTGTCGCAAACAGTGGTGCTCATGCATCTACTCATTAATAATGAAACCGCAGTCTATATAAATTCTCTATCTTCCGCTTGAATTTGCTCTCAACATACCAATCCTCATTCTGCTCTTTTATCTGAATGAGCGGCCAAAGGACAGCAACCAAAACCGGTGCACAAAAGTGAATGGTTGGATTAACCCATTCGGTTTTCACAGGCACCAAGCATTGTTGATGATCTTGGGTTTTTGGTTTCAATCCTTGGGAGATCGTTACTTCCCCACTACTTGAATGTATTTAAATGCGATGGAAAGGTTTGTGATAACCGAAAAGGGGCACTGGATAGCTGTTTCGGTCTGTTTGGGGACCTACACCGAAGATCATCAACAGTGCCAGGTGCCTGTGAAAAACCGGATGACCTAATCTAATCATTCACCGTAAGAATTCATTGTGCCATTCCCACAAGCTGATGACCGTCGACTGTGTAGCTCAAGGATAAGGGTTTGAAGTTCAAATGCGAAGGTTCGCGGTTGGAGTCCTGACAAGGACACAAAAAGTACACAACGCTGACGAGTCCTTAACAGGACGTTACAGCTGTCCAGTGCTCTTCGTTGGTTATCACAAACATATCGATTGCATGGTTTATGGTTGTAAAAACTGAAACTCTCCCTCCCCCCACCCTCAAGAGGTTCAATCCCTGTACACCTGAGATATTACCACTAGCTTTGCATGCACTGCGATTCTAGCAGCGATCAGAGAAGTTCACCGTAAGGTGATACTGATGATGATGATGCAGATTGATACAAAAGGTACCTAGGATGACAACACAAAAATGATGAGCGCAGTTCACTTGTTTCTAATGCGTCCTGTGTTATCCAAGAGAACTTACAGTTCTTTGCGAGTTTTCAGTGGGTTATGATCTTTGTTTATGTACATAGAATCCCATTCGTTTTTTAACGCCTCCAAATGATAAACAGCCTCCTGAAACGTGAGTAAAATTGAAGGAAACTGAGATGCCTACTAACATGCATAATGGCGTAGTAGTGAGGTCGTCTGGTGTAGAACAGACTATGCAACGGTCTCCCAGTGGAATCGCACTGAAGCTCTAAAAGTAATTGTATAAACAAGAGTCGTTCAGTAACATACCCTTCTTCTTTGGAAACACTTCTTCAGGTGGCTAAAAGAGTACGGATAGTTTAAAAATGCTGCAAACTTTACTTTCATTTTTGGTCTGGCTCTGTGACTGAAAAGACCAGAAGGGAACAAGTAAGCAATCGCTTCGTCGATTTTTTCTTGATTGAAAGTATCTGGATCTTCACCCATAATCTGAGCCAGATATTTTCTACCCCGTTCGAAGTCCTCGCGCTCCGTTTCTATCATGCTTTCTAGATGAAGAAAAACAGTATCGAAAATGGGGCAAATCATACCGTAGTCTTGAGTCCGTTTTAGATACAGCTTTATCGAAGATTGAATCTTTGAACTTTTGCTACGTGTGTCGGGAACATTGGGCACAGTCGTGTAGGCTGCATTCGTGACC